GAACTAGGTCAGATCGGCCAAATTTTACAAAGCAAAATAAAATTAGAAACGGAATCACAGCTCTCTCACCGAACTAACAAAAACAAATTCAAAAATTAGCACCCATTTTGACGAATTCACAATTTTTTATTTGAAAAATAAGTTACAAACTAATACAAATTGTCTGGAGATCCAGCTTTATTATGGTTTTGTTGTGTTATATGAAGTTGCTGCGTTGTTTATTTTCATCTACATTCTATTTGTCTCGAAAAATCAATTACTAATAAGTAGTGAATTTAGAGCATACGTGCATTCTAATCGAATCTGCGGCGCGGCGCAATGAAATCTGCAGTTTTGTTTACTCATCAAGCAGATAAATATTGGAGCAAACAATGGAGTAAAATCATTTCGTAAATAAACAAATAATCAAAAGGGTAACCAGACTGCACAAAAAGTTGTTTATCGAAAACAGGTAATGAAAAATTAGACTGACGAAGTGTATGTGCAGGTGTCCGCCACGGAAGAATACCCTGAACTGGACCGTGGTGATAAAGCTCGCCTCAGTACAGGAACCGATTGACATCGACTATTCACAGAAGTAGCGAGCAGTTGAGAATCTACCGAACGCGATGGTCTTAGCGGCAACGTCTTGTGTTTACCTAAACAAATGTAAGCATTACCCAGAAAAAGCAGTTAGTACAGGTGAACGGTTACTGGTATATCCAGCAATGAGAGCTGCCAACTCTTGATTTCCTCGTATTAAAGCGATAGCTTGAGCGCTGAAACCGTTAGCGTTGATCGCTTCAGAATCGGCGTCCGAGTCGAGCTGAAATTGAAAATATTTTGATAACTGATGTAACATTTAGTGATGGTGGACTCGAAGATTTTGCGGTGAAATGGATTTATTATTCAATTCATTACTAACCAGTTTCGAGGCTGTTTTGTAGTAGAATTTAAAATCTCGGTCGTCAGTACAGTTCATTTCGACGCACGCCACGCCCACTGTGGGCGGGGCTCCGCTTAGCTGATGTGTGTTTTGTACTTCGTGAGACCTTGCCCACCCATCCCACACTTGACCCGGTCTCTCCAGGCGGATCCCAGGAGCTAGGGAATTTCGTGACAGACATACAGACGACAGACGATCTTTAGTAGTAGATACTTTTACAGATATTGTCCTGCTACAATATACCAACGTGTTTACTGAACCTCATAAATAAGCAGAAGAATAATTAAATTTCATGTAATCTCATTTCATTCCCCTTATTGAAGACACATTACCCTGAGCGTGCATCATGTTTCGTTGGAGCGAGGTCAAACCAAAGGTCACCCTTCTCATTTGACCTTTGACTACGTCGGTACACATATGCACCATTACCGCGTCAAAGCGAGGTGGTACTGCCACAACTTGTGCAGAATTCTGAGAAAGGACGATCGGTACAGGCAACTTGAGCCCACATGGAATCTTCGGGACAATTACCCTGATAGCCGTCCGGCGGCATCAAAAGGATTCCTGCTATCACATCGTGGTGCAATGTTTGCAGCTTGAACCAGGTCATCGAGGCTATTCTAGGAATTACGACCTTATCCTTAAAAACGGCTGCGTCACAACGGCAGCCATACACATAATCGTGCGCGATTGGTCCCCACCCCACTAGAAGCTAACGCTACCCTCGAGTTCGACCGCTAATGGCGCGGGTGAACCTAAAATTTCTAAAACAGGTAAGGCAGTGAGAACGGGCTGATTTGCCCTGATAGGACATTAAAAGAATATTATCAGTTAGACCTCCATCAACGGCGGCCACCCCTTGCTGACAAATTTTGCGCCATTCATCAAAATCTTTTGATCACTTTATCCTCCCTGCCCTCCCTCGCTACCGGCTGCCGAGGCTGACGCTATACCTGGAATAATTATACGGTTGCGACACGCGTGACGCGGTAGCGCATCCACTTACGCCACCCGTGGGACATGTGACGTCCTACGGAGTGCGCAGAAGTGGGCGTGGCCCACCAATCTTCCCCTTTCTCTTGCGCTGTGCGACGTAATTCCAAGTCTTTGACTACTCATTCCAAGGCACACAACTAGACGATATTCAAAACCGCATGGTTCACATGAAAGGTCAAATACTCGTTTAGATTAGCCGAATGTTATCTCCAGACCTCACCGGCATACGTCGTCGATCATCCTCGTTTTCTTTTCAATAACGTAGACATGTTGATAAAAAGGAATAACAGAAGTGAATACAAACCTATTCGTATGGGAAGATATGTGTTTTTACTGAAACAACCACGTCCAAATTAATTTTGGAACCACTAAAGGGAAATTAAGTAAAATTTCCCTTTTCATGGCCTTAACACGTCATTTCGGTCAAACTTCCATTACTGTAACTCCTGATAAGCTAGACAGATCGAACATCATTGAAAACATTTCATCGCATCTAAGTATTGCGGATTTACAACTTAAAATCCATGGATTTGGTGTGCGCGGCTGCGCTCGCAAAATCGCTCTTGTCCCACGAGGGAGCAAAAGCACAAAACGCGCGATGTCGTCAACGTGTAATAATAAGGTTCCAATAGGAGCACCCAAAAAGCTTATTTCTGGCTCAATATGGCTGCTTTTTTTTGCTCATTTTTGTTTTGTTTTGAAACAAAAAAATCTAAAATCTATTCGATTCAAACTCTCCATCCAACAACGTCAGGCACACATTGGATGTTAGCAAAACAAAACGCTGAATCTACAGTGAAATGCAGTGTCGTTTGTATAGTTTTGGTATGAGACAAATATTTAGGTTATCCTGTTTAGTCAGCTTCTGTGGTGGATTTCTAGTGAAGATTCTGTGGACAATCAAAAACAACGACTGAACAATATGGACCATAGGATTTTGCAGAGGAAACAGATAGTGAGAGACCCTAAAGGGCACTTTCTAGGCCCAATAAAAGTCCTGTGGAGCGACGAAGGCTGTGCTGTGCTGATTATCCAGGAAGCACAATGTTTTTATATATACTTCTCGCTCTGACCCTTCTCAACATCTTCACTGAAGGTGCCGTTCTGCATGGAGATGTAAGTGTTGTTGATAGGCCGATGTCAGACTTTGCGAATCGAGCGATCCGCTGGCCGCGACGCGACCGCGGACGCCAGCGAATCGCTCGATTCGCAAAGTCTAACATCGGCCATACTGTTTGTTTAGGAATTTGACCGAACTCCACGATTATCTTGAGCTGATAAAAAATTGTTTTAGAAGTGCGAGGATCGTAAAGGTGCTGAGTATTGCGCAAAAAACAAGGACTTATGTCATTCAAATGATTTTGAAAAACATTGCCGAATGATAGCGGAATGCAGAAAGACATGTGACTTCTGTGATGAATAGCATGGCTTTCACAAATAAAGCTTTGTAACCAAATGTGTTGGGGCAAAACCATCTCGCCGAGGAGCTCATGAAAATTTTAGGCAGTGCTATATACAACTGTGGTGCTGAAAGCAATTTCGCTGTTATCTCCGTCGAAATTCTGTACTTCTACTTTTGCACAGTTTGATGTTGAAGTCTAAGTAATGTTGGTAAAGTTAGAAACTAAAACTATTGATTGAAAAAATTAAATATCAAAGAAAAAATAAAAGTTAAAAATTGTACTTACAAGGAAAATAACAGCTTCGGTGTGCTCGTTGATGGTAGCCAGATGGAGAGGTGTATTTCCACGAGAGTCCTTCAACGCCAAGACAATCCTCCGTTTCTTACGAGACCACGATTCCAATAGAATACGCAGCACCGGTACGCTACCGCAGTCTGAAGAAGTTCTGTTGGCAAAAACTCGGACGAATGTAAGCACTCCAGAATGAGCCATGTCGTTGATTTTTTATGAGATTCCCTAGACAAGTAATCAGAGAAGATTTGTAACACCATCAGCTCGCCATCTTCTTGTCCCCTAAGACACGATGTGGTCCACTCTAGCATAGCTTCAAACCAGCGACTACAATAGGTTCTAGAGGTGTAGTGGGGATGCGGGGATGCTCAATGGTGTGCCACTGATGAAAAAGCAAAGAAATCCGTCAAAAAATGCAAAACGGGACCCCTTGTGTAGCCGTTCATTTTCGCTCACTTACGCGCAGACATAAAGTGCAGCGAACGTATGGACGAGTTTGCCGCAACGCGCTTGGTGGCACCATCCCAACCCACGCTTCAGTCGAGTTGCTCCAGTTGTGCCGCAGCGGGCCAGCTCGTCCAAATCACCAACTAAACAGTGGGCTTTTTGCTGGCGCATATACCTTCCCTGAGCGGCCTAACGGGGTGTTCGTTCCTTTGAAAGGAAGAATTACTGATAAAAGTTAGTTATTGGAAAAAAGGGTGGAGGTGATCAGTAAAAAGAGCAGAGATAAAGAAAAACATTGAAGGGGCCCGAAACCGAGAATAATTGGATCCTCTTCTTGTCGCTGATTTCCGTTGATACGACCCTCATTATTTTGCCCTTTTCAAGACTACGCTCTCTGCTATCTAATCACTCGTCGCGTACAGAACTGCGGCGAGTGCATAGAATTAGGTGGGCGTACCCCTTCAACTGCGCAAAGAGTGAGCCATACCAGTTCGGTGAGGTCAAATTTTTCGCTGCCCCCCTTCTTTGACCTTCGTTCTCATCGTGAAATTTTAAATTTTCACTTTTTATTCTGCTTGTTGGTCAGAAGTTCTGCGAGCAAGTGAGGTAGCACTGCGGATATGTACCGCTCGATTTCCGGAAACGAGAAGAGCGACGAGTGCAGACCAACACAACCACAAGTGACGACGGCCAAGGAGAAATTGGCTTTTTCTTTTCTTCTTTCTTGGCCGTCGTAACTCTTTTGCTGTGTGGTCTACACTCTGCGCTCTTCTCGTTTTCCGAGTTAGGGGGTGGAGTCGAGATAGCGTAAAGCTTGGATCAATTGCCAATACGTTACTTTGCATAAGAAGCATAGTCTATGTATAAAAAGTCAGTCAAAGTTCTCACATGCAGCACAATGCAAAGCATTGGAATTGTCCAAGGTTGTCCACAGAGTGACGTGGGTCCCGCAGCGATTCAGAATCCATTGTACGATTTTCTCATGTCCACATAGGGACGCAATATGAATGAGTGATTGACCTGAATTGATCTGCTTCAAACCTTGCAATTTGTTCTGGTTTCTATGTGCACACTCTATTTCAAGGTTTCAAAGAGGATGCGTCAAACTCTGCTTCGCGAGCTTTGCGCAACGTCGTTGAGCAGCGGGGCGAATAACCATACACGCGTGTTCGTGGAATGGTAGCGGTGTTAACACTCATTCCATCTGATTTCTATTGAAATTTGGTATTTTTCGAATCACGAAGTTTTAATATAAACTATCGCTTTCAACAACAGCAGAATTATAATGACTACACTTACGCAAAAGTTCCATTGTCTTTGATACAAATTAAATATGAAGCTTGGAAATGCTCAAATTTCAACAGGAGCAATTTCAATTTCAACATATTGCACCCACTGAGAGGAATTAGAGACGCGTCGCGACCGCACGCATGCCAAATATGTCGACTCTCCTTCGTGACCCTCATGCAGCCATCCATGGAGAAAACGAAGAAATTTCTTCTTCCTTTCTTCTTTTGTAGGACCGTTCCCTTCTCTCGGCATACTGTTATAATACTTTACCAATTTAACATGCCTTACAGATGCTCCTTTTTTGAGGCGCTTTCGGGAAAAGAATACAATCCAGAAAAAAAACTTCTCTCTCCACGACGGAAGTTATGGCATGGCGTAGTGGAAACTGGCACATGTATACTGTCCGGGATCAAATCTCGGATCGAATCTCGCCTAGGCCAGCCAAACGTTCCATCTCTTCGGGGTGGGTAACTTGACACCAGAAATTGTTTAGGAGAACAAAAACGCTGATTTGTACATCGGCCAACTCCTGCCTAGGGTACGGTAGGGACTACTGCATTCAAATGACACTACGATTCCGAACGGAGTGGAATGTGTGGCGCATCCGAAAAGAGATGTTGACGCCGGTAGCTTTATTCATATAGTTCTTTTTCCTGCCATAGAATCATAGCCAATACACTCCAATTTCCAACTGTTCTTGGAGATATCCCACGCGCCTAACCAAACACCACCAAAAAAAACCCCGATGTTTGAGATCAATTGCTACACCTTTCGTGTTTGGACAGCATTGTTCTCTCGAAGTGTCATTCTCTCGCAAGGTATTAATTTCAGCCCTTTGACGGCCTAAGCCACCACTTCAACGACTTGACTACATACCGTATTGGGTCCCAGCTCATGGCGATTGCGTTTTATGGGTGCCGCGTTCCAAGAAAACCTTAAATTAGGTCTTTATCCTCACTGATGAACCTATAGTAAAAGGAAGGACAGAGTGTTAGATTAACACCTAAGAGCTCCATCAATAAATTGTTTCTGAAACTGGATCGGAGGCCGGAAGCCAACACTGCAACTAGTGGAAGGTGGTACCAGTAAATCCGGAACACGGGGAATCACAGCCATGTAGCTTGGAGCATGTGCGAACTGTTATAATTACAGGCCGTCCAACCGGAGAGTGGCGCACTTCGCCGCGCAATAACCGCATGTCCCTTTATTATCAAATATGTGCTCCATGAAAGGCGCTCCACCTTTCACACTGATGCATCCGATTTCCGCTCGAGCCGTTTCAACCAAATACTCCAGCACATTCAAAAAACCGCCTTGAACAGCGTAAGCGCATGGCGTGCAGCCTGGAAATAGCTTTTCAGAAACGTTCAGGGGAACAAAAACCGTTGAAGCGTTGTGCAGGTGACGCTTGTGTCAGTAAAAACTCCTGTTCATCGTGGAACGAACTTTCCCCAGAACTTCTTCGTAGTGTGAGCACCGAATTAGCCATAGTCTCACCGAAAACATCTCTGCTGTCCACTGATTTCGGATCGGTTTTAACGGCACGTCTTACGTATTCGATGTTACCTAGAGAAAAAATATTTGCACTTGGGAAACAACTTTCTGACGAATTTCGTGAAAAGCATGAGGAAGCCGACAGTGCGTATTTGTGAATCGCTACAGGCACTAAGAGTTCCTAGAGAGAGTTGAGAGCCCTCGTATCCTTCTTTACCAAAACCTTATAAAAGTGATTTCAGTGGCCTGTAATATTTAAAAAAGTTGTTAAGACATCGCAGTCGGCCAGGTCTGTTTGTCTTCAGCAGCTTCCCTCACAAGCTTGCAGGCGGCCGACACGAATCCCCAAAGGTAAAGGACCCATCTACTGATCGGGGCTTAATGTATATGACCGCAGATTAATGGACGATCGTGGTACGGTAAAGTACGGTAACGAAGAAGGGTGGGTCATGTAAGATACGCAATGGCAGAGAGTTATCGTGTATGTGCTAGACAGAGGGTTTAGCGTTTTAACTTGTTCTTTTCAAATCAAAAGGTCAACCCACTTACGCAATATACTATAAACCTTGTTCATTTCCAGGGCGTAATGGTCCAGCACCAGTCAATCGCAGAGGAAGCTTTCAAAGTGAACAGAATATCCGCGAAGCAAAGAACATATGTTTTTTATTTACTTTAGGAGATGTGAAAAGACAGCAAACTGATGCCTGGAAACCATTCCCACTGGGTCACGGCAATGTTATTAAGTTTTTTTTTCCCCACACTGCTAAAATCCACTTCACGACAGAATTCCTAGTGTTTCATACCTTGACGTATTGACTGCAAGCTTCTTCCGGTTAAAAATGGTTACCCGTCGAGGGCGCTGCCTTTTGCGATGCGTGGAAAGCCGCGCTCGGAGCAAACAGCAGGCCTTCAAGTTGTTTTTCTACAACTGAGACCCCACATAGCACATGTCTAGACTTCCGGCAGTCGAACTTGCACAACTGAGAACTGATAAAGTGCAAGATTTATTCGGCTATGTAATCATAGTTGTTGCTCCCACCTCCCCACATAGCTCTATTCCCGTCAACTACTCCTTCCGTAATTGCAGCAACCGTATCAACTCATTACTGATTCCCTGAAAAAATTCTGAATATTACCTATGCTCTTGATGCCCTTGATATAACCTGATGCCGGTTAAGAACCTAACAATCACGACTGCTCGAACGCGGTAAAAAGAGTCTAACCACTGAATGGCTGCTTACATGTATGGATAGTGATTTCCGTAGACTGTCTTTTCCGGTAGCGAACGCCCAATTCCTTGCCAAAAGTTCTTCAACAACCACAACGCTATAGCATTATTTCCATGGGTTACAGCCGCTGTCAACACTGATGTACCATTACAGTCCCTGAAAATCAACGAGTTTTCATTGTACTAAATAAGGGGCGAAATGATAGGTAAGAAAAGTGATGATAGACGTCACCCGAAACGGTCGCAAGACAAACGCCCAACCAAAGCTAGAAAGGTACCCATTTTTCTGCCGCGAGCTCTTACAATCGGTTTCGCGTATTTTCCCACCATTTTGCGGACGTTATGTGTTTTTTGGCCTATTAGGGTGATTTTGAGATCTTTGACTTTCCAGGCTCTGACGAAGGCAACAGGGCCGAAACGAGGCTGAATAAACTCACTACTCTACGTCACTACTATCTTAGTGACCTGAAGTACTACAACCAATGCCAAATGATTTATGAAGTCAAAACATAGGTAATTTATAAAATGTTTCAGTCGCTCGTTCCAGGGTATCTACCTCTTGACTAGGTACGGGTTCCTTTTGAATGGCCTGCCCAATCAAAACCATCACGAAAAAAATTTGTAAGCCCCTGATTCTCAGTTCTGCTGCTTTCCTACTTGAAAACCTTTCGTGTTTTGACCAAATTTAGGCCGCGTGACTACAGCTTTATGTAAGATATGTGAACCTCTTGCATTTTATCCTGTGAGCCGTGTTTTAATGCTGTCTTCTTTAAGCGCTTTGTCCGACCAGATAGTAGTAATTCGATCATTTGAAGCTCTCCGAAAGCGACGGCGAGATGTGCAGGAGTCTCACCATTTTTTGACGTCAACTCGCGAAGTATAGGTGCTCTCTCCTCTAGCAACACCTGCAATATTTATTTACTGATTCCGATCTAAGCTCTATAATAAGGATCCTTTGTAAAGGCGAGTTGTACATACTACATAATGATCTCAATGGAAGGTGTCGGAATGAACGATTGAATCACCTCCCACCCTCTCCCACCTGGAAAGTTGAAAAAGAGAACCCGGGTCACATACAATCAGCTGGTGCTCTCGCTGAGTTTTTTTTAATCAGGTTGGGTCCAGGTTACTACTGAGCCAAAAGAACTGTTTGAGACGTATAACGATGACTTATAGCGATTCTCTGACTACAATCACTTGTGAAAGTATTTTCATGCACGGCAATTGCGTACAGCAGCACAAACATGATGCCAGCCTAAAATACAGGTCTAACGTAGTGCCATACCACCTTTCCGAAAGGGGACTAAATCGCGCGATAATGTCCTATTGAAAGGGGTCCATACTCATTATCGGGGTTATAGTGGTTCGCACTTCCTATCTTCCGGTGCTCCGATGTTCCAGACTTCCGGTGCCTCTGGGTGTCAGCGCTCCAGTTCCAGAGTTCCCGTCTCCTGGCATCTGTGTGGTGCCTGAGCGGTATTGTTGTTGGACCTGAAGAACCCGCGTAGGAAAAAGAAGGGCCCTAGACCTAGTCTGTGAGAGCCTTAGTGGTTCGTTAGTGGGCCTCAGTGGCTCAGTGATTGGCCTTAGTGGCCGAGAGCGAGGAGCCTCCGTGGCTCGGTGACTTGGCCTCAGTGGCCAGTTGGGAAGAGCCTTAGTGGCTCGGGGAGAGAGCCTTTGTGGCTCACGTAGAAGAGGGATTGCGCCGTGCACCTGGTTGCTGACCTCGGCTCAGTGGTCCCGGTCCCATCGATACAATTCCGCCTCCGATCGTCCAGTGATCTTTGTTATTCGTGTATTTATTGTTGAGTTCCCTATCTAATAAACCTTCCTTCTACTTGTCTCGAACGCAGTTAAGGGTTACTTCCCCCGTCGCAGCACACAAATCAGTCTATTTTACCTAAACTTCGGAGAAAATACATTGAAGAGCTCTAAAAGGTCATAGACAGGCTACCGATGATTTAAGTTTGATTGTTGAAGCAAATAAATAAAGTTAAAGGTATTTCCTAGCATCATCCTTCGGGAAGGGCTGAATACGACCCATGACGTCATTTCGATATTTGCGAGGTTTTTCGCGAGAAATTCCATGCGTTGTACTGGACTTGCGCGTGCTCTCTTACCCGCCTGCACGCGACAAACCGTCGAGCAAACAGTAGCTGGTCGCTCTCGTCCATTAGGCCGAGCCAGGACCAAGTGGACCGTCTCGCCTCGGGAATAGCTTATATGCGAATGATGGCAATTCAAGAAGGTCGAAGTGAAACAAACTTATTCACAATCAAACAACTTTCCAAAACATCAAAATCGAAAGGCAAACAGAATTTTGATAATAAAAAATTTTCAATACGAGAAATTGCCCACTGTTCGCCCTTGTTTCTTGGAAAACCCAGAAGGGATTCGTCCCCTCCCCCATTGTATACTAGATCTCCTTCTTTTAAAAGTGACTATGGTGCAGTGACATGAACTCAGATTTTATTACGGCGGTGCTCTGACCACACCGAGCAAGCCTTCCCTCATTGTAGAGAACATTTGTTGCCATCATAAATATCTCACTTTATTCGATTTTTCCAAGTTTTCAAACATTTTCCTCGAGAAGGTCAAACAACATCATTCAGTTGCTTCGATTCGTAATTGAAGTCGAATTCGTGGCTTATTCTAATGAGCCCATCGAACACTGAGCACTTCAGTCCACGCCCTTCCTGCTATCTTCTGATCGTACACGGGTGTTCTCGCATTGAAAATAACAAGTAAGCCTGGATTGGGCGGAGGCATCCACCTTATGAGAACCTCATCTACCGTTTGTTCTCAACAAATATGTCTACTTGTTAGAAAGAAAATTGATGCTGAAATAATCAATTATGGTCCAACTTCTGGATGCGCCACGTAACCGTGTTCATTCTTAATCTTTGCAACGATAGAAAGGGTATAAGGTACAAGCAAAAATTAGCATGTTGGCCACCTACGAAGTACGCGTAACACTACATTCCTATATGAAGTCAGATGAATTGGTTAGTATTCGCTCGAGATCGGGCCAAGCTGGAAAACGATTTGCTGAGATTAGATTATATATTGATACCTTGGTTGATTATTGTCCGATTGATATATGATTATATACTGTATATTGATTGCCTCGCTTTTCTTGTTTTTGTTTTATTTTCTTCACCTTCTGAGACACGCCAAGCACATTGTCTTGTTTTCGTATCTCGTATGTGATTGGATGGGTAAACGTTTTGCACCAAAACTTTCCCTGGACGGATATTTAATTAGTTTTTCAGAGAAGGTTCACAATAATCATCACCGGCACAGGGGACCGCTTCTCGCTTATGACTACTGATCGGCTCAGACGCTCAGATTGCACTTGACGAGACGATGCGCAAACATTGCGCCGACGGCGATCAAGAGGAAAAGCTGATATGCGCGGTATGAAATTCAAAGAACTTAAGCGCATTAGGCTTACCCAGTCCTTCAAGAGCCTGCTTCTGAAAGTGAGATCGAACAATAAAATGTGAACAACTGATCAATCCTCGAAGCAGGGTCAACCGTCACGGTTAGTCGGTTTTGAAATTTTTTGCGACCAATCCCTCAAGAGAGCCAAAACGACCCCCCCCCCCACTACCACCCTTCAGACCTTCGACAAACTCCTACCCTGTCCACTTTTTCCCTCCAAAAGCCCGATGGAAGGGTGGGGCGGTAAGCATGCATGGAAAGAACGGCAAACGCTTCAATTTGCGCACATATGCTTTTTTCTTTCTTGCACCTAAAATATCCAAAACCCACCAAAAATGACCCCTTCAACTTTGAAAAATACAACCTCTTGTCCTCCGTCAGCCCCAATTACGA